GAGGTCGACCAATCTTGAGAAATACTCTGAAAGCATAGGTATTCAACCTTGTTTTGTATTTGTTTATTTTTCCTTGTATGAAAATTTTTTAAAAGAAACTTATTACACAGTCCATAGCCTCAATGTAGTAAAAAAATTGACTGAAAGGTGTTTGTTTTGTTATTTACTACTAGACCAAAATAGCGGGACAAGTCTAGCGGGGATTTTACCAATGAATGTGCCTGGGGTAAACGTCTTATTTCAACGCCACTCAATCATTAAATTCGCGGTTTTTCCCGGGGGTTGGGAAGCGAGCGTTTCAATTGACTAGCATGCATAACACCCTTTATTGGATGAGCAAATGCAAAATAATTCTTGTCAAATCTATTATTTGGCATTTGCAATGTTTTCATTGGTGGTCCGTGAAGGTGGTCCATGGAGGGGTCCGCGGACCGGGGGTCAGTGTTTTCAACTCTCCCATCACTAAACGATGAAGTGACAATATTTTGAGTGTAGTTATCGAAGAATTGGACTGTATTGAACCCTAATAAAGTAAATATAAATACTATCATAAGGGTAAAGCAAAAAATATTTCCTTGAATGAAAAATAATAACAGAAGCAATGTAGTTAGCATTAAGGAAGAATTGTTCAAGCTCTCCTCACTTTGATAGTCACGTGGCAGGCTATAAAGACAGAGTCTTTTATCCTCTCTGCTAAACAAAATAGTTGCAGAAACAAAATAGTTTCAGAGCCTGTAGAATCAGTTAGTATAGAGTTCGCTTTTGATAAGATTGGTTCGAATTTCACGATAGGTTTCACGATAAATTTCAAGATAAATTCGCGGTATCTCTCAAAATGCCCTTTCGATAAACGGTCGACATCGTGGCTATACGGCGAATGGTGTGTGGATTTGTAAGAGATTTAAGCGTGTTTGAAGTTGAATTCATGTCTTCCATCTCGTATAAAGACGACACCTCGACGACACCATAAGATAGCACATGGAAGTTGTGAATGTCACGTGATTCGTACCCAGTGCATTCTAATTTGGCCGAGACAATTTGTGTACCAAATGCGACCAAGAAGGTCGAAACCTAAACTCGGCGGTTCCACAGGAACCCCGAGTAATAAGTACATAGTATTTAGGTGTAGATAGTCTTCCTTTTGACCAAATTCAATTGACATAGTGTACAATCGACTTGGCACTTAGATTTTTCACGTCTCTCAGACGAACTCGCAAAATAATTTTTAATTTGATTATACGATTTATACGGATTATCATTCATTCTCTTTTAAAATTATTAGCTACTACAGTTTATATTCAATAATTATTTGATAATCAATATCAATACACGTAAACTTTATCAAAATGTGGAACGTTCGAGTGTAAATGTTGGAATTTCAGAGGTCTTAATTGTGTTTAGTTGAATCCCGGCAAATCTTTGGCAAAAGCTAGTATCGGTCTTAAGAATTACAAGAGATTTTTGTCGTGTTTTTTTATCCGAATACTAGTAATGCCTGTGTGATATAAGAACCGTAAAACTAATTTAAAGATGTGATGATTTGGACAACAATAACGACAAAACAGCTTGGTGAAAGTCGTCACATTTCACCGAACATACTGAACATCGGTATTCGGCCGCAAACTACCAATCAGCACCCATCCCACCCCACCCCACCCCCGTCAAATATAAAACTACTGAAGAATGATTATGCAAGGCCTGCTAATTCCTGAGCTGAGCTCTGATTGGCTCGGTACTCACTTTGGATTTTGGTGACGTCATATATTAGCATAGAACTTCACCGAATAGACTACCCCAATTAGATATTAGATATCTATAAGTGTCTTCATAGTACGATGGTCTAAGAGGGTAGCTAAAGGTATGCTCTAGTGGGCGGCTACCCCCTCACTCCCTGGCCTTTTGGTTAAGACTAAGTTTTATGTTCACTCGGGATAGCGTGGAAGAGCCGAAATCTCTAACCGTAACGTAAGCCGATTCGACGCCTCAGCTTCATAGAATGTCTCGGGGGAATCGTCCCATCTTTTTAGATTTCTATTTTTATTATTTCTTATGTATTCCGGGGGAGTACATCTTATGCTGAAGTGAAAGTCCTGAGTTCGAGTCCTGCTGCTGGAGTTTCTCTTTTTTGCTTGCGTATTGTTTCTTTTGCGTTTGTTTCTAGTTTTCTTTTATTCTTTCTTTTATGCTCTTTTTCCTTTTTCTTTGCTGTTTTCACTTCGTTTTCTTTTTTTCTATTGATTTTCTCTTTCCAGCTTAAAGGACTCGCAAGGAACGCCTGCTACAAGTGGATAGTTACGGTTCGTCACTGAACATCATGACATAGTAACGAGAGTCCCCACAATGCCTTTCGTCACAAAAATGATAAAAAATGACTTTTTAGATGTCAAGATCACGTTCATTTATTCGTGGAAATA